TTTTTTTTTTTTTTTTTTAAGAAAATCCCAGGATGATAAGTAATATGGTTGATACCAACTGGTATTAGGTACTTGAAATGTTGGCCGATATAAGATTAATGCTGGAATTACCTGGACTAAATCAGTTTTCTCAGTCTTTTCCTACCCATGAAATGAGAGTTTAGACTAGAGAACTTCTGTGGTCCTATCTAGCTTTATGAGCTCTAATTAGAAACTATTTTTTTTTCAGCTTTGGATAGATAACAAGGTGCTCGTAGGCAATCTTAGCAATTGTTTTATGAAAGATAAACTTTTTATAAAGGAACAAATTTGGGAATAAGTTTTAGAAATTTGTCCTCCCCCCTTTTTTTGTAGCTTACTTTAATCATATTTTGCTATTTAGGTGAATTTTAAGGTATTTTAATATATGATATGCTTTCTTTTGTGGGTAGTTTTTTTCTGGCAGTTGTAACATTCTTTGCAGCCACTAATAATTTCTTTTATTTTTTAGTGTTTTTGCTACTATGGATTGAACCCAAGGATTTTTACCACTGAGCAATAACTCCAGTTCTTTTTATTTTTTGTTTTAAGACAGGATCTCACTTAATTGCCAAGGCTGGCTGGCCTCAAACTTAAAACTCTCATGGGTCACAGTGATTACAAGCATACATCCCTATGCAGCCATACGAACCATATTTAAAACTAGTGTAGTCTCCCCTCCACCTCTAATACTAGCCAATATTATCTTTCCTAAGAGTTTTCTCTTGTACTGTTTTAAATATGCTTATACTTCTATTTGATGTGTCAGTTCAGCTTTTAACTGATAGGCCTTGATTGCCAACCATTAGAGATTACATGACCAGAGAACTTATTCTATATCCCATGCCTTCTTTCTCCTTACCTTCCAGAGTTTTATTAGTTGTTTCATTTCTACATTGTGGGAATATATAATGTTTACGTTCTGTTCTGCCATTTGCACACTTCTTTCTCTCTAGTTCTACAATTTAAACATTGAAAACAGACAAACATTCTCAGTAATCTCTTGGTTGGCAGAAATTAATGATAGTTTTTTAATAGTTTCCTCAGAAAGACATATGGAAAAATTCCTCTAAATTTTTGCATATTAGAATATTTTTATCTGTAACCTTTACACAGTAAAAACAATTTAGATATAAAATTCTTAGTTTACATTTTTCTTGGGAATATTGTAAATATTGACATAGAGAAGCCTAAGTCTTGTGAAATTTCCCCTAAATAAGGGATTTTCTTTTTTTGCTTCACTGCTCAAATTCTTTAGTAAGTTCAGAACTTCAATTATTCTAGTCTTGGTGTTGATCTTTCTATGTTCTCTATGTTTTCAGAAAATTGTCATTTTACTAGATAGGTAGGTACCCTATTGATTTCGTTTCATTATTAACTTGAGAATCATTTTTCTAGACAAATGGCAGAGGATGGTGAGAGAATAAAGATGAAGTGTTGAGATGATAATGAGCATTATATGATCAAGAGAAAATAAGTGGGAGTGCTTTCCTGAAGGAGGGAATGATAAATAAGTTGGATGAATAGGGTGGAAGTTCTTGGAAGTGGCTCAAGTGGCTGTGATACTGTGTTTTATTAAATGGGATCCTGATTCCGCCACTTCTAACTAAACAGCCATGGTTTTCTCATCTATAAAATGAGGACAAGATAACAGTAGTAAGTGTAAAGAGCTCAACATGGATGTGATACATTCTCAATTGGTGGTTGCTGTTGCCGTTATTACTGGGTTAGGTATAGGAATGCAGCAGCATAGGAGAAATGGGCCCTGCCCTTCCACATATAAAGTCTAGGAGGGGAGACTGGTTTAAGTAAGTTATTACATGATGACTACTAGGTACAGGATGCAATGCGGACATCTGGTTGAAGGACTTATCCCAGGGTTGGGGTTGGAAGAGGTCTCCTCAAGAAAGCAATATTCTACTTTAAGGAGATGGTATGTTGATTTGCATTGAAATTATATTTCTTGGCTTAATGTTGGATGTTGAAGCATGGGTGTATCCAGTATATTTTTGTTGAATTATTTAGAGAAGGTTTTGGGTTTTTTTACATTCAGTCCTGCCACCCCTAGAAAAAAGTTAGAGTTGACCCTCCATATCTGCAAGTTCTACATCCATGAATTCAACTGTGGATTAGAAATGTTCAGGGGAAAAAATTGTGTATTTACTGAACATGTACAGATTCTATTTCCTTGTTAATAAACAAAGCAATTTAACAACTGTTTATGTATATATGTATAGTTATGTATTATAATTAGAGACAACTTATTCGAGTATTTACATAAATTACATTCAAATACTATGCGATTTTTTATAAGAGTCTTGACAATCCAAGAATATTGATGTTCACAAGGGGTCCTGGGACCTATCTGCTGAAGTTACCCAGAGATGACTATACCTATTTCTAATTTCTGAGCAATAGCGACATCTAGTGGTGAGAGTTGGAATTTGAGTCCATAGTTGAGTCCCTAAGTATAGTTTTCCTTATCACAAAGCCAGAATTTTGGAGTGGTCCAAGCTCCACCTGAGAGAATTGGTTCATGTAGGTCTTGCCTCTTATCTCACAGATGAGCCTGCTGCTCAGATAGTTTGAGGAAGTTGAATTTAGATTTCATCCCCATGTAAATCTATAGCCCTAGCTACATCATAGCTACTAGGCCAAAACCATGCTGATCTAAAGTTATCCAATAGTGGGATTGTCAATAACTTTATATGCTTTTCCTGTTTGAAAGCTCTTCAAATTTCAAAAGGGAAACTGAATGTGTGCCAGCCTTGACTGGATTGCTATTTTCCCAGTAAATGCTTTAACCTGGGATCAGTGTAGGGGAAGAACCAGCCCTGTACATGCAGCTGTTTCCTTCTTAAATAAAGAGAGACTGTATAAATGATGGATTCAGGTTCTGAAATTAAGTTTTTTATTTGCAGTCCCCCCCCAACAAAAGAGACTTTTAACCCTTAAACACTAAGGAGAGAAGAAAGAATTTGTTTTTAGCAATAACAAAGTGAGGCAAATTTCTTCTAAATTCAGCAGTGATAGATGGGTCTAGAATAGAGGTCAGCATGTGGTTATCCCCCTTGGAGGAACCCAGGATCAAGTCCTCTCTGAGTTTTCATAACATTGGTGATTTTTTCCCTTGGTGAAACTGAGTGAGTAAATTTTTGCCATCACGCCTTTCAATGATGTTTAATCTCACATCATCTCATACCATATTTGCTGTCTTCCCTGTTGGCCGCCCTTCCTAGGTCACTCATCCTGTCAGCAATACCTCCCTTGCTCACTGTCATCTCCTGGGCATCTTTCCTTCTTCCTATTCTTTTATCATTAAACCAATCACCAAGTCCTATCTGTTTTTCATTAGCAGAATCTCTCTCATCATTCAGATTTGTCCTTTTTCCTCTCCCTGTTGCCATCACTAGGCCCTTCACCTGTTTTTGTCACCTAATGCTAGTCAGTATTGTTTCAGCCTTTCTAAGAAGGAGGTTGAGGAGGTCTCACCTACATATACTCTTTACTATGGAGATGGTAAATATAGTAAGTGCATGAAGCCTTGGGGACCTCTCAACAGGACAGAAACAGATAATTACTGAAATCAGGTGACTCATCCAAATATTTTGCAAGACTGACATATGAGCTAAGAACAAAACTGAGAAATTAGGGAGGAAAATTACATTACTAATCTATTGTTCAGAAGGCTTGATGGAAAGCCAGGGTAGATCTCATCCATCAAGGAGTTCCTTGGGACTAAGGATTGCTAAGTCTTGGCAGAACATTGAGTTTATTAAAGTCAACATGATGACTGAGATCACCATACATATAAACATATCTTAGAATAGCTCCATGGGTAAAATAAGACTTGATAATGGCCAAAACGATGTTAGGCTAAAACACAAAATGTGCTGGGGGAGTCTGTTGGAGGTTAGTGGCCAACAAAGCCAAATCCATCGCAGAACGTCCATCAAAAAGGGGCTTGAACCTGGAGTAAATGAACATTTTTTTATCTGTGTGTGTGTTAATAAATGTTGAGCGGTATAATTTAATCAGGCTTAATCTTGGGCCAAAAATAAGGCAATTTGCTTCTGTTTGCTCTTAATTCAGGCTCATATTACCTTTGTGATGACTCTTGACTTCATGAGTGTCGGATTATGAGAAGGGAGAAGCTTTGGATACAGGCCACAACACCTGAATATAAACTAGTGCCTTAGTGTTCCTGGTTTACCTGTCATCAATACCATGACTCAAGTCTAGCCCAAAGAGATACTCACAGAATAAAAACCAAATTGTATTTTAGACCTGAAAAGATTCAAAATGGAGAACAATGAAACCAGGCCAAATGGGACCATGGTTTTAGGTTGCAGCACTTCCAAAATGAGGCAAAACAGCTAAATCTGTAGTAATAAAGATAAAATGCCTTACTACTAAAATAATATAGGTAACTAAAGAGCAGTACACAGTTTACAAAGCATTTTCATGACCTATTTGATTAAGGATAATATTGCTATTTATGAAAGAAGTTGAAGTTTGTGTTTTGACTAATGACAATTAAATCCAGCAATTCCTTCTGATTTTGTTCAATTCAGTTTCATTTCTGATAGTAAGTAGAACCACTGATTATATTGCTTATTTGTAGGAGAGAGAATAATTTCAGTGAGGGAAACTATTTGGTGATCCTATTGTCTTTAAGAAGATATATAAGGGCTGTGGTTGTGCCTCAGTGGTACAGCTCTTACCTAGCACATGTGAGGCACTGGGTTTGATCCTCAGCACCACATAAAAATAAATAAACTAAATATATTGTGTCCACCTACAACTAAAAATATTTTAAGATAAAAAGAAGATAAATAAGCATGGATAAAGGTACTGTGGGGAACTGTGGAAAGAATCTATTTTAGGAATTAGGAAAAGTAGTTAGACCCACACAAAAAAGATGCTCGGTTTCTTAACAAAAAATATTGCAGTAACTCTGCACAACATAAAATTTACTATTTTGACCATTTTTAGATGTCTAATTCATTGGAACTAAAAGATACTTAAAACACTGTGCAACTATTATCCATCCCTAGAATTTTTCATCATCCCAAGCTGCACAGGCATCACACAAACTCTCCAATTTCTCCTTTCCCCACCCCCATGACCTCTTCTGGTTTTCTCTATGAACTTGTCCATTCTTGATAGACATGTGGGTAGATAATACAATATTTGTCCATTTTATGCCTGGCTCATTTCACCTACCATAAGATTTCAAGGTTTATTCATGTTGTAGCATATATCAGAATTTCATTTGTTTTTAAGGCTGAATAATATTCAGTATGTGTGTATATCACATTTTGCTTATCTGTTCACCTATTGGAACACTTGGGTTGCTTCTACATTTTGGCTGTTGTGAATACTGCTGCTATGAACACTGATATACAAATACTGCTATGAACACTGGTTACAAGTACAGTCACAGGTCACTTAATCACAGGAATAAATTCTAAGAAATGTGTTGTTAGTTGATTTTATCATGTGTCTAGTCCCTCTAGAAAACAGTTTAGCAATTTCTTATAAACCTAACTATGTCCAGGCATGGTGGCACACACCTGTAATACCAGCGGCTCAGGAGGCTGAGACAAGAGGATCAGGAGTTCAAAGCCAACCTCAGCAAAAGTTGAGTCACTAAGCAACTCAGTGAGATCCTGCCTCTAAGTAAATACAAAATAGGGCTGGAGATGAGGCTCAGTGGTCGAGAGCCCCTAAATTCAATCCCAGTAACCAAAAAAAAAAAAAAAAGAGTAAAAAAAACCTAAATATGTGCCAGGTGTGAGGACATGTGCCTGTGATCCCAGCTACTCAGGAGGCTGAGGCCAGCCTGAACAACATAGTGAGATAAACCATCTCAAAAGAAAATAAAAAACTATGCATTTACAATGTAGTCAACAACTGCTCACTTAGGCATGAAGTCCACAGCAATGAAAACATGATCACACAAAAACCTGTACATGTATGATCATAACAGCTTAATTTTAACTGCTCCAAACTGAAAAGAGCAATTCTTGTGTTATTTATTAAAGTGTTCAGTATATTACTGGTGGTGGATATGTGACTCTATGCATGATAAATGCAAAAATGAATACAGTAAAATTATGGAAATATATTTGGAATATATAATTGGAAAAATTATGGAAATAAGATCAATAGATTTTATCAATGTCAATATCCTGGTTGTGATATTGTAGAATAGTTTTGCAAAATGATACCATTGGTTAAACTTGTAAAGTGTACAGAGGATCTCTGTATTGTTATTTTACAGCTGCATGTGAATGTATAATCATCTCAACAAACATTTCAGATTTAAAAGCAAGCAAGAGCAATATCCTACAAGTAATTCTGGTAAGAGAAACAGAAAGCAGGCTGGGATTAACAAACATCTGGACAGTTTACCAGAGGAAGTTTCTGGTGACCCAAATTCCCTTGACTTCCTAGATGATAAAACATTAGGTTTATAAACTAAAGAAAATTCTCAAGAGACTAAAAATTATCAGGAAAAAAATGGCTGGAAAGCCTCAATACTAGCAGTGTTGAGATAACAAACCTAGAAAAAAGTCATTACTGGTTTCATAAGGATGGATTACTGGAAAATCCTTGTCAAAAGGAATTCTTGGCAGGGCACTGTGGCACATGCCTGTAATCTAAGTATATGGGGGGCTGAGGCAGGAAGGTGAAGTTCGAGGCCATCCTGGGCAATTTAGTGAGAGCCTATCTCAATTTAAAAAAAAAAAACACTGAGGGGCCTAGGGACTCAGTGGCAAAGTGTCCTGGGGGCTGGGGAATCCTTTGATTGCTGGCACGAATGTAACCAATTCCCTTCTTCTAATATGCATTCTAGAATGCCTATTCTGAAATTCTGCAGCCTTAACTTTGTCATAGATTGTTCTTATCTTAATGGAAACCTGGCTTTGGGTTGGGAATGGTGTTTTCTCAGAAGCCTTCTCAGTAGATCTAGCTCTTTGTTCATTATCCCATGCCACATAATCCCCTTGATATCCTGAGGTGTATGAATGATGCCCCGTATAAAAGATCCTACCCCTTGAGGCTCATATATGTACCTGAATCCCACTCTTCATCTTGTGCCTTTGCTATTGTTACAGAGCTGGGAGCTTCCAAGAAACTGAGGCAGTGCAAAGATCTGCCCTTCAAACCCTGATTCTTGCAATCAAGTCAGAAAGATTTTAGACATGTCTCTCAGAGTAACAGAAATGAGTTTATAGAAGGGATAGGAAAAGGCAAAGGAGTCACTCTCAAGGGAGACAGTAGGTCCCCTCAGAGAGGAGAGAGACAATGTGCCTGTCTTGCACTCCAGTTTTACCGGGGTACCCAGAGAAGTTTTCTGAGAGTCCTGCCCAGGTCCACCTTTTGACTTTTGACTGAGAAGAGGATGACATCAGACTTTCAAGTCCCCACTGCCATAGCAACTCTAGATCACTTTGGCCCATGCTGACCATTTCTAATTGGAACCATGAGTTCCTACAGATTTTATGGTTAGGAGGAATCCTTATCTCCCAGAGTTTCAGAATCTGGTCACAAAAGTCTACTCCTTCAGGGTAACTTGGGTCCCTCTTATCAATTATTTTGGGCCTGCATTTCTCCTCCAGTGAACAGGCAGTTTGCTAAGGAATGTGACATATCCTAACCACTTAGGTCAGGCAGGGCTGCAGGTAAATTTTGGGGGAAAAAAGCATCTGGGGGTCAGCACAGGGGGCCCATTTTATAGAATTATTCTCTTAACCTCGTGTTCCCACCATCCTCATCTGTCTGTCCCTAACACTATCACTTGCAGATTACAGGTCTTTCCCCCTCAGCTCAGTAGGCAGGCAACTGGAGACCAACCAGAAAGATCAGTTCATTCTTTATCAGAAAGTCTTGAGTTTATACCTGCAGTGCTGGTGGTGGTCTGGTACCGCATACTCATAACTATGGAGGAAAAAAAGTTTTGAGAAACATGAAAATTTTCAAAACATTACTGCAATTCCACCACACACATATAACCACTTTAGGGGCTGGGGATGTGGCTCAAGTGGTAGTGCACTCACCTGGCGTGCGTGCAGCCCGGGTTCGATTCTCAGCACCACATATAAACAAAGATGTTGTGTCCTCCAAGAACTAAAAAATAAATATTAAAATTTTCTCTCTCTCTCAAAAGAAAAATATATATATATATATATATAACCACTTTAAATCACTGTATATCAGTCTTGATTTTGTGCCTAGTTTGAAAAAACAAAGTATTAGCATATTTGTGTCTTGTTTTGTTTTGTTTTTTGGTTTTGTTTTTTCTTTTCACTTTCCATCATAATATAACCTCTTTTTGAAGTGGGTACCACGGATTGCACACAGCTCCAGACCTATTTTGTATTTATTTAGAGACAGGGTCTCACTGACTTGCATAGACCGTGCTTTTGCTGAGGCTGGCTTTTAACTCATGATTCTCCTGCCTCAGCCTCCCAAGCCACTGGGATTACAGGAGTGCCACCTCGATATGGAAAACAACAACCGCCAGGGAAAAAAGAGGAACCACAATCTCCAGGGAATAAAGGAGGACCATTGGTCCCAGGAAGAGATAGAAAACAATGGGCTCTGGATTTTCACCATTTCCCAGCAACCAACACATTCTGCTGATTCAAGTCTAACTGAACCCTATAAAATTCAAACCCCTATTATAATCAGTTGCCATTTTGTCTCTTGAAAATATGCCCCTCAGGTGCCTAATAAAACATTACTGATCCATCCAGGTCTGTCCCCGATTCGTTTACTTTTTTTTTTTAGAAGTAAATATAAGTGAATTATCTCTTTTTATATATTTTTTTATTTAATTAGTTAAAAATGACAGTAGAATGCTTTTGCTTTCAACCTTCCACCATCCTGTTTTACACTTTCAAAGATATTCTGAATGGCTACGTTAAATTTCATGGTGAAATCGTCCATTTTCCAACTTCCTTACAGGACAGCAAAATGTGCATCTCTGTACAGAACGTCACAAAAACTTAAAAACACACTTCAGTCCCTGCCCTGTGCGGCAGGCATGTAATCCCAACAACTCTGGGAGGCTGTGGCAGGAGGATTGCAAATTGGAGATCAGCCTGGACAACTTAGCAAGACCCTTTCTCAAAGTGCGGACGTAGTGAAAGCGTCCTCTGGGTTCAATCACAAGTTCAGAAAAAAATAAATTAAATACACTTCAGACAATTTAAAGTCTCAAGGACTCCGCGACCTCTTCCACCCAGTTCACAGCGCCAATGTCCACGTCTACTTGCTACCACCTCAACACACCGCGCGGCGCCTAGGTCACTTTCAGAGCTTAAGGGCTCTCTCGAGCCCCCGTAGAGACGTGATAACGTCATAAATGCGACGATGCTGGTTTCCCTGGTGACGGTTGCCAGGGCAGCGCGTGCACGCGTCCGGAAGAGGTGACGAAGCCCGGCGACCCTAGAAGGCAGAAGGAGAGAGACCGCTGTGAGTGCCTGGGAGGGCGGCAGGGCCCGGGCCGGGCCGAGCCGGGAGAGCTCGCAGCCGCCGGGGCAGGACCCGAGCCCGAGCGCACACGCTGGCCGGACCCGCCCGCGCCAGACACTGATTTTCCGCGCGGTACAAGGGTTAGTGCGGCACAGGGGGGTCGCCTGCCCAGAGACACATAGTGGGTGGTACAGGCAGAACTCGAACTCGGGTCCGCCTGACCCGCGCTCTCGTCCTCGCACTGCCAGGAGCAGTCTCCCTCGCTCCAAGGGTGCAGCGGGAACTGCGCGACCAGGTGGCAAGCCCCTTATCTCATTCCTCTCTCCAGAGTTAACCCTGTCGGGACGGGAAGAGGGACTCAGCGGGACTCCAACCCGGCGAACTAGACTTCTCCACCCCACTCCTCTAGGCATTGTCCAGCAGTGCCTAACCGAGGCATCTCGAGGCATCACCCTGTCACTCCTGGGAATATCAAAGAGAACATAGTTTTTAAAAGCAAGAGAGGGAGGGAGAAAGAGGAAAGAAAGTGGCAGGCTGGTGGGGTAAGGGAAGCGGGTACCCACAAGGGACTCAGTCTTTCACTGGTCCCTGTCCCCTATGCACTCAACGGCCTCAAGTCCTTGCTTCTCCACAGGACTCCTAAGTAAATATCACTCTCCCTATCCCATGGCTCTAAGTCCTTCCTGAGCCGAGAGTTCTTTCCATGCAGCTTTTTTAACTTTAAAAAGAAAAAAAGAAAGAAATTAACCATTTCTTAAAGCAATTTTAGATTTACAAAATTATTGAATAGAAAATAGTTTGCATATAATTCTCCACCCCCATTTCCTTCCTTCTAAACAACCTCTTCCATGGGTTGACGATTGATAAACTTATATTGATAAACATTAACTAAAATCTATAATTTATATTAGCATTCTTTTTTATGTTGTACAGTTCTATAGGTTATGATCAATGTCTAATGCCATGTGTCTATCATTACAGTATCTAAAATCCTCCTTGGCTCCACTGTTCATTCCTTCACCCCAATTCCAACCCCTGGCAATCACTGATCTTTTATTTTTAGATAATTTTGCCTTTTCAAGTGTCATATAGCTGCAATCATACAATATGTTCTAATTAAGTTCCCTTTGTGTCTTTTCATGACCTGATAGCTCAATTTTCACCATTGAACAATGGTTTGTGAGAGTGTACACCTATGGGAGTACTTCTTGGTAGTTTCTGATTTGGGGTAATGATGAAAAATAAAACTACTATAAACATCTCATGTGAAGGTTTTTGTATGGAGTAGTATTCAATTCATTTGGGTAAATATGGTCATATGGTAAGTCTCTAGCTATGAAAACAACTGTCAAAACTATCTTCCAAAATGGCATTACCATTTGGCCTTCCCACCAGCAATAAATGAATGTTCTAGATTTTGATGAGTCCAAAAGATACATAGCAGTATCTTGTTGTTTTAATTTGCATTTCGTAATAAACTATAATCTTTTGCATCTTTTCATGTGCTCATTTGTTATTAACATATTTTCTTTGAGGTGTTTGTTCAGAACTTTTGACAACTCTTTAACAAGATATTTTCTTATTAAACTTTTTGTATATTTTGGATACGGTCCTTTATTAGATATGTGTTTTGCAGATTTTCTTACATTCTGTGGCTTTTCTGTTTCATTTTCTTAACAGTGTCTTTTGCAGATAAGTTTTTTTAACATTAATGAAGTCCAACTTATCAATTTTTTTCATAGATCATGCTTTTGATTTTCTGTATGCATTGCCAAACACAAGGTCACCTAGATTTGCTTCTATATTATCTTCTAGAAGTTTTATAGTTTTGCACTTTACATTTAGATATATGATCTATTTTGAGTTCATTTTGGAGGGGGTGGTTGGTAATGGCTATTAAACCCAGGAACACTTCACACTGAGCTACATCCTCAGCCCTTTTTATTTTTTATTTTGAAATGGGGGTCTCACTAGGTTGCATAGGGCCTCTCTTAGTTGCTGAAGCTGGCCTCAAATTTGAGATCCTCCTGCCTCACCCTTCTAAGTCACTAGGATTACAGTTGTGTTCTTAGCTTGAGTTAATTTTTGAGACAGGTCTGTGTCTAGATGCATTTTCTTTTTTGCTTGTGGATGTCCATTTGTTCCAGTACCATTTGTTGAAAAGCCTGTCTTTTCTCAATTGGACTGCCTTTACTTCTTTGTCAGAGACCTGTTGACTATTTATGTGGGTCTACTTCTGAGCTCTATTTGGGTCCATAGATTTATTTGTCTGTTCTCTCACTGATAGTACACTGTCTTGATTAATGCTCTTCTTCAATATTATGTTCGCTATTCTGGGTCTTTTGCTTTTCCATATATACTTTAGTATCAACTTTTTACCATCCAGAAAGTAACTGTCTCGGAATTTGATTGTGAATACATTAAATCTGTATATCATGTTGGGAAGAAATGATATCTGAACAATCTTGATTCTTCCAATGAATATGAGATACATATATATTTAGTTCTTTGATTTCTTTTCTAGATTTTCATAATTTTCTTCATATAGATCTTGTAGGTATTTTGTTTGATTTATACTTATTTAAATCTTTTTTGTGCTAATGTAAATAGTTGTTTTTCATTTCAATTTCTAATTGCTTATTGCTGGTACATAGAAAGACATTTGATTTTTGTATATCTGAAACCTTGCTACATTCACTGAAATTTATGAATTTGCTTATTGATTCTTTAGAATGTTCTATGTAGATAATCATATGTTTTGTGGATAAGTATCATTTCTTCTTTCTCAACTTACATATCTTTTATTTCCTTTTCTTGTCTTATTCCATTAGCTAGAACTTCCAATATGATGTTGAATAAGAGTGAAGAGAAGGAACATCTTTGCCGTATTTTTAGTCTAAGAGGAAGTATCTAGTTTCTCATCATTGAGTACAATAGTATAATAGTAGCTATAGGGTTTTGTTTGGGTTGTTTTTTGTTTGTTTGTTTGTTTGTTTTTGTACTGAAGATTGAACTCTGGTGCAGTTTACCACTGAACTCCATCCCCAGCCCTTTTAAAATTTTTTTCTTTTAATTTTGAGACAGGATCTTGCTAAGGTGCTGAGCTTGTGACCCTCCTGCCTCAGTCTCCCAAGTTACTGGGAATACAGGTGTGTGCCACTGGGCCCAGCTACAAATGTTCTTTATCAAGTTGAGAAAACTCCCCTTTCTTCATTTTGCTTAGAGTTTTTGTCATGAATGGTATTGGATTTTGTCAAATGCATTTCTGCATTTATTAATATGATCATGTGATTTTTCTTCTTAGTCTGTTGAAGTGATGGATTACATAAAGTGATTTTCCAATTTATACCACCTTTAAATACCTAGAATAACCCCTAGTTGGTTATGGTATACAGTTCTTTCTATATCTTCCTGGATTCGATTTGTTAACATCTTTCAATGACTTTTGCATCTATGTTCATGAGAGTTATTGGTCTGTAATTATTTTCTTATAATATCTTAATTTTGATATTAAGTTAGAGTGAGTTAGAAAATATTCTGTTTCTATTTTCTGGAACAGATTGTAGAAAATTGTTATCATGTTCCTGAAATCTTGGTAGAATTTACTTGTGAAACATCCAGGCCTGATATTTTTTGTTTTGGAAGGTTTTTATTAATTCTATTTGCTTCATTGATATATAGCTATTTAGATAATCTGTTTTCTTGTATAAGTTTTGGTAGATTATATCCATTTCATCTAAGTTATCAGATTTGTAGGCATCAAGTTGTTTCCACTATTATTTTAATGTTCATGGAATCAGTAGTGATGGTCCATCTTCCATTTCTGATAGTAATTTACACTGTTTTTCTGGGTTGGGTTTTGTTTTGTTTTTGAAAGGTTTGGAGAGAGTAGCTTGGCTAGGGGTTAATCGATTTTACTGATGCTTTGAAAGAACCAATTTTGGGGTTTTTTACTTTATTGTTTTCCTGTTTCCTATTTCATTGATTTTTGGCTCTGATTTTTATGGTTTCTTTTCTTCTACTTACTTTGGATCTCATTTGCTCTTCTTTTCCTGGTTTTCTATGGTAGAATCTTAAATGACCAATTTAGACCTTTCACCCTTTCTAATATATTCATTCAATGCTATAAATTTCTTTCTAAGCACTGTTTTTGTGGCATTACACAAGTTTTAATAAGGTCATTATTTTCATTTAGTTCAGAATGTTTTAAAACTACTCTTGACACATCTTCTTTGACTTATGTGTTATTTAGAAGTATGTTATTTAATCTCCACATATTTTGGAACTTCCAGACTTTTTTCTGTTATTAATTTCTAATTAATTTCATTCTGGCCTATGAGCTTACTTCGTATGATATCTTTATTTGTTAAGATTCGTTTTATGTCACAGAATATAGTCTGTCTTGGTGAATGTTCCATGTGAGCTTGAGAAGAATGTGTGTTCTGCTGTCATTGAATGAAGTATTTTATAAATGTCCATTGGTTTCAGTTGTTTGATGGTATTCTTTTATTCAAGTGTACCTTTACTTCTTTCTGCCAGCTGCATATGTTACACTTTTGATATTATTCCACCATTCTTGGATATTCTCTTCTGGGTTTTGTTTATCTTTATTTTTCATTCTTTTTCTCATTGCATTTTAGTTCAGGGAGTTTCTTTTGACCCATCTTCAAGCTCACTGATTCTTCTTCACTGTGGCCAGTCTAGTGATAAGTTCATCAAAGACACTTTTCATTTCCATTAATGTATATTTGATTTCTAGAATTTCCCATGTAGTCTTAGTTTTTATTGCTCTTTTTATATTACCCATCTGTTTTTGCATGTTGTTCACCTCTTCCATCAGAGCCTTTAGCCTATTGATCATAGTTATTTCAAATTTTTGGTCTGATAATTCCCATAATTGCCTTCATATTTGATTCTGGTTCTGATGCTCTCTTTGTCTCTTCAGACTGTTGTATTTGTTTGTTTTGCCTTTTACCATGCATTATAAATTTTTTACTGAGATACAGACATGATCTATTTGGTAAATTAAACTGAGGTAGACAGGGCTTTAGTGTGAGGTTTTATGTTTATCTGGCTAGGAGTTAGGCTATATTTGTTATTTGCTGTAGCTGTGATGTCAAGAGACTAAAATTTCCTCTGC